TCTTCCGCCTATTAGCCGGGTTCGAAATGCTGAGCTATAACAACTGGCGACGCCGAATTAACTGGGCCATAACATGTTTTGTACACAATCTATAACCAGCCCATCTTTTGTTGCTGTTCCCTATCTCTGACGATGAACTCCTGTAAGAGTCCGAAAGCTCAGAACAATAAAAAAATCGTTCCAGTACTCGACCTTCTTTCTTTTTTTACAGTTCTAACTTGTTTTGATGAGCCAGTATAACGAAACCAGCCTATGTTGTCAACTTCCCCGGCTGTTGTGTCTGGGTATGCCGTCTCCACAAATGCTGCGCTGAATAATCAGCTTTGAGCCTTGCAAATTAAGCTCACCTGTTAAAGAAATGTAAAAATATTTATTTAAACGACAATTCTAAAAAGTAATACAAGCCTTTTTTTATGATCGTGTGCGTTGAATGGCGAATTTTCCACTTGTAGAAATTCAAAATGTGGGTTCTTGGGGCAGATTGGGGCGGGAAATGGCACATCACAATCACTTTTTGACTTTAACACGTGTGTTAGCCGCTGAAAGACTAAAGGCGTCCGGACGAAACTCAATTAATTCGTCCTAAAAAGTATAAACAAAGACAGCAGTTTTAGATTTTAAAGTCTGTAAGATCTTATGCATTAATTAACGGTAAGGAAAAGATAAGCATTAATGAAAAATACGCCGAGTACATGCAGTGGGTAGCAGTAAAGCAAAGATTAAATATTCTGATCGTGGAAAATTAATTCGGATTTGGGTAACCGTAAGTAATCATCAGTCCGTCTACTAGTCTCCAGAACCATCGAATGCGCTTGATATTCATCTACGGCTTACCGACCTGCAACCTTTTGGCTGGCCTAACATGATGTGAGTGGGGTCCAAAATAGCAGAAAGGGGTATAAAACAAATTTTAAAAATACGAGAATGTTTCTAAAAAGGCAATAATAAACAAAGGTCTTTTTGATGCCACAAGTATCCAAAAAGATGCTTGTTTATTTTGAAATTTTCAATGAGTCACACAACTTTAGTCAAATATAATTTGAACCGGCGTGCAATTTGAAGTTTTTTTTGGGCCCTGACTTTAAAGAGTGGTGTTTCCAACGCCTTCATATCGAAAAGACCTCGTCCCCAGAAGCCCAGAATAATGCACATTAAGCGGTACGGACAGACTAGACAAACCGGAAGGCTCATTTTTGGCCTGCTAACCGTAGTCAGCTTGTTGTATCCAATTCTAGGTTTGTATCACCGGTGTATCACCCGGGATGTTTGGTCATTGAGCTTAATGCTCTAACATTGAGCTACAGACCCCTTCTCCTGTCGGGTTTGATTGGGGCTATGAACTATGGTCGTGTGACACTCCCTGATCTGGTTACGAAACCTGCACAAGGCAAGGAACGCGACGAGCATGTTCCGTAACCTGATCGGTGAGCGCCACACCATCATAATACCG